CCTCAAAACCCTTTCGAGGGCTACAAAGAAACGATAGTGAGTAGCCTACAAATTGAAGCTGGTCAGATAACGAATGAGTAAATGAAAACAGAATGAGGTGGAGAAGTGTGTGTGTGTGTGTGTGAGAGTGTGATTAAAATAGCCCGTTTGCTTTTACAATAAATAAACATTGAATGTTTTTAGTTGAATAGTAAAGGGGTTTAACGTTAGTGGCAGGTTGTGTGTGAGAGAGAATAAATAAGACAGCCCAATATTTCAAAAAAAAGTATTTAGCATATCTTGCAACTGTCCGCATATTTCGCAACTTCCCGCAATTTCACCGCATAAAATCACATAAAAACCCCGCATGTTTAATCGCATAATCAAGGATTTTAGCCCGCATAATCAAGGATTTTAGCCCGCATAATCAAGGATTTTAGCCCGCATAATCAAGGATTTTAGCCCGCATAATCAAGGATTTTTACCCGCGTTTTTCTGGAGGGTCTACTTAGGGATGCTCACCTCTACACTTGGAGTAGGAGCGTTTCTTTTTCGTGGAGGACGTGGGGTCGGGTTCAGCAGTTTGATCCTGCTCTTCGCCCTCCATGGCGGACTGACGCCTCCTCTGCCTGCTGTAATAGCCAAGCTGATGTCTGCTGTGATATCCATTCTGACCGTGGCTACGTCGGCCATGTCTTGTCCTGCAGTGGCTGCGAGGGTGGTTTCCATGTTTCTTGATCTGTCTCTCAGTCAGCAGGCGTGTGGCTTCCCGTCTCCCGGAGCCTCCCTGGTTCTCTTGGTACTCCCCATAGAGCTGTCGACCAATCCATTAATCATTCCACAAATTGTGCAAACATTTCGAGCATTCGTTCATCAGACATAAACATGTACAGGTAGTTCCTGTGAAAGTGAGAATGAACAGTGTAGTACTCTCCTTTTGGCACACTGGTAGAGAAGAGACTAGGTCAAAAATAGACAGGACCACGTGTTGACCCAAACAGCTTTAATGGAAGCGGAAACATGGGCTCTGCTTCTAGATTTATCACCTCTGGACAGACTCCATGAAATTTGCCTTGAACATCTGCGGGAGAGATCAATCCTAAACTCTCTCTCACTAGCACAACTATCTGTTTTAGTAGGAGATGCCCTCTTGCACTACTTTTATCTTAACTCCTTTCTGTAGTTTATTTTCCCTAAAAAAAACCGAGTCAACCAGAAATGCAAAAAAAACATTGCCTCTGCCCCTAACCATGTCCTGAACAGCTAAATACAATGTCCAGCAAGTTAAATACTGAGTTAAATCCAAGATCTGATACATTTTAAAGGGTCTTGAACATACTGTCTTATTCCTTGTTGGTGTTGCACATCGCGCAGCTGTGATGCAAGAAAATGTTGTCTTGAAACGATAACGAAGTATCATGGTATTGCATTGTATATATTCATGCTATGGACCTTGCCCAGTATTTTTACTGGTAACTGCTGTAAATGATCTGTTGGGGTGGTTTGGAAACTGTAATGTATATATTAGGTAGTGTAAAGTCCTCTTGACAATTACAGTAAATTGAGGGACACCAGGGGTCACTGAAGTCATAAATCACAATTTCCCAAAAAAATTATGAATTTCTTACCCATAAATACAAATTATAGATTTGCTATGTGAGAGCTGTACTTTTTCCTTCTAAGAACCTTGAGTTAATTTCATCTTTCCCAATCTGTCACAAATGATATATTCATCTACTACTGAAGCATGAATTATTCCAGCACTGTGCCACAAATGTCAGACCGGGGCTCATATATATTCTTGGTACATCATCAGCAGACAATAGAACTCCAGGAATACAACTGACGAGTTGATAAGCTGTGTCTGTTGATGACCCTTTGGACATCTATGCAGTAACCTTTCAACAGCTTCTCATTTAGCAGGTTCATGGACAGGCAGATTGATGGATAGATGGATTAACACACTGTTGTGTCCCGTCAAAAGTGTTGAGTTCAGTCATGTTTTATGTCTTTGTTTAATCATTTTTTGTCTTGTCTCCCACTTCCTGTCTTATTTTGGTACTCACCTTTTGTGTTTCATTCCAGGTCCCTTCACTCCCTATCCTTGTGTGTGTCTCCCGCTCTCATCAGCGTCAGCCCCGCCCCTGATTGTTTCCACCTGTGCCAATTACCTTTTGTTTAAATTCCCCAGCCTTCCTTTGTCTTGTGTCAGTTCGTCTTGTTCTGTCTCCATGCCAGTAGTCTGCTTACCAGCGATTTCATATCTTGTCTCAAGCCTGATAAATGCTCCTGAAACTCTTTGTACATTTTGTTCCTCACGTAGTAAGCAATTTTCTTTGTGCCTTTTTTGAGCCTTTTTGTCACCTTGTTAAGAGTGTCGACCCTTTTTTGTATACATATTTTGGAAATAAAGTAGGTTACTTATACTTTACCTCTGTCTCCCAGGTCGTGCATTTGAGTCCTTTTCCTTGTGTTTCCACGTTCGTGACAGAACGGACCAACCACAATGGACTCAGCCGACCCAAAGACACTTCACGCCGCCCTGTCTGCCCAAGGCGTGAGGAACAGCTGGGCTTAATCAGCCAAGGAGTTAAAGAGCTTATAGGCCAAGCTCCAAGATTCCGTCTCTTCACTGATACAACAGCTGACGGATCACATGCATCAATTCATCGCTCATCTGCAGACTGCTCCTCCGGTGACGTCATCCACTGCTGGCTGCCTTCCTGTCGAGGATCCTGCTGACGCGGTGGCGACAACGAAGCGCACGCTTGGAGCTAACGGGCTATTAGGGTGGGTCGGAGCCGCCAACACGACCCGTAGGACTTCTGTCAGAGACGACCGAACGACATCGTCCGCCTGCTCACCAGGTGTATACGCTGGAGTATCTTACAGATATTTCAAGCCGGATTACTTTATCGTTATCGAGCCTCAGAGACCTGGTAAGACGTCATCGTGTCTGACGTCGAGGAATGGGCAATTTAACCCTGTCCTATTTGCGTGTAAACGTACCAGACTAACTTTCAGGGACCTAACACAACTTTTACGTCTAGCGTGACGTGTTCCTTCCGAGACGTCAACCTAACCTCAGAGGCCCTTAGAGAGGCCTTCTCGGTCGGCATTACTTCCTTTGTCGGACCTA